AATTGAAATGAATAAGGCCTAAATAATAGGTTTTGGCCCCACGGAGATGCAGCAACTTATCTGACAAGCAGTACAGTAGCTGAAGCCTGGATTTGCTTAGTTTAATGTATAGTTTGGAGCTTTTTCTAGAAATTGTATGGCACTTTATAGCACTTTTATTAGTTTTATAGTTCTGATAATGTAAGTCTTTTATTGTATATTTTGATTAAAATACTGGATTTTTCTCTTGATATTTTTAAAACCATATTTTTACCGACATTGTTTACATTTTTCTAATTTGAGTAAAACTATTCATTTTTATTTTTGCAGCATAGGCTTTTTGCCTTAAATCCTTCATTAAATTCCTGTAACTGACTGATGTCTCCTCACTGTGGCTCGCTGCCACACTGCACAGTCCTGGTGGTGGGCGATGAATCTGGAGGCTTTGATTGCAGCTTCCCAGTCGCACCTTCTGCTGAACAATTTGTATGATGATAAACTACAGACCACTCCAGACATTCAGGACTTGTTTTATTACAACATTGCGAATAAAATGCTGGTTTACTCTTTATGATGCTTCTTTATTTAAAGATTTTCCACCACTGTAGTTAACCTCCGAACACAGCCAGACTACAGATGCTCCTTCTTAAGGTACAGAAGGCCCTTTCTCTTTTTATTAACATATTAAAGCACCAGAACCTTCTGGTGCCCTGTTCTGGTTTTGCCTCTGGTTTTGGGGTTGTGACTGCTGCAGTTTTCTCAGGGTTGAATCCAGCTTTTGTTGGTTTATGCGGTGATAAACAATCTGCACTTAAAGCACCTTTTCAAAAATATTCACTAAACAGAAAAGAGGAAAAAAGCAGAGACTTGAATTCACACCATCATGGGACCTGGACATGCTGCAATAAGATATGATGTGAAATGAAAAGAAAAAAAAGCTTTTAATGTTCATGTGAACACAACATGCCCAGAAGGCAAGACAACAACTATTAAGATAAAGTGAAAACAGAATGTATAATGTATTGCTTATCACTTCTAAAAGCCTGAGCCCTTCAGCCATGTATACACAGGCTGTGTGTGTGTTTTTAAAAATACATTGCAGACTATGTTGTTCCAATTAGATTTGTCTATTCCATTAAGGGCCTGTTCGATAAAGTGAGTTTATCAGATGAGCCAGGCTTATTGCAAATCAAAGTCAACATAGTTTAGGCTCAGTTACTCTGGCAACTTATACCTGGAAACTAACATATACACAGCCCACGTATACAGTTACATACACTGTATAAAAATACATAAAACCTATTTTTTTCTCACTATCTGGCATTAAATCAGACTAAGCGTTTTCTGTTTTAGGTAAGTTAGGATTACCTAAATTATTTCTATTTGCTTAATAATGGATAATGAGAGAGAGAGATTTTTTAAAGATAATTTTTAGTATTTTCTTCAAAGTCAGAAGTTAACATACACTAGGATTGCTATGCCTTCAAACAGTTTGGGAAAGCCCAGATGATGATGTCATGGCTTTGGAAGATTTTGATAGATTAAGTGACAACATTTGATGTAGTTTAAGGCACACCTCAAACACGCTGCCTCCTTTGTGACAACATGGGAAAATCTAAAGAAATCAGCCAAGATATCAGGAAGAGAATTGTGGACCTCCATGGGAGGCTTGCAAGCCTGAGAACACTATCCCAACTGTGAAGTACGGGGGTGGCAGCATCATGTTGTGGGGGTGTTTTGCTGCAGGAGGGACTGGTGCACTTCATAAAATAGATGGCATCATGAGGAAAGAACAATATTGAAGCAACATCTCAAGACATTAGCCAGGAAGTTAAAGCTTGGGCACAAATGAGTCTTCCAAATGGACAATGACCTAATAAGCATATTGCCACATTAGTTACAAAGAGGCTTCAGGACAACAAAGTCAATGTTTTGGAGTGGCCATCACAAAGCCCTGATTTCAATCCTGTAGAAAATTTGTGAGCAGAGTAGAAAAGACGTGTGGACTAAAGTGGCCAACAAACCTGACTCAGTTCCACCAGGTCTGTCAGGAGGAATGGGCCAGAATTCATCAAACTATTGTTAGAAGCTTGAGGAGGGAAACCCAAAACATTTGACCCAAGTCACACAGTTTAAAGGTAATTCTCTAAAAAAATTCTCTCTCTCATTATTCTGGCGTTTAGCAAATAGAATTAATGTTGGTAATCCTAACTGACCTAAAACAGGAAAGATCTGATTTAATGTCAGACAGTGAGGGAAAAAAAATAAGGTTATGTGTCTTTTTATACAGTGTGTGTAAACATCTGGTTTCAGCTGTAAGTATATGCAAACTACTTCTGTGTAACTTTGACTGCGTGCTTCAGATCTTGGTCTTGCTGGAGAACAAATCTTATCTCAAGTCTCAGTTCTCCTTCAGATTGCATCAGTTTGTCCTTCAGGATTTTCCTACACTTTGCTGCATTCATTTTACCCTCCACCTTCACAAGCCTTCCAGGGCCTGCAGCTGAGAAGCATCGCCACATCATGATGCTGCCACCCCCATGCTTCACGGTGCGCATGGTGTGTTTGTGATGATGTGTCACGTTTGTTGTCTAGTTGACTGTAAGTAGTGACTGTGAGTTTAATTTAGGCCTCATCGGACCAAATAATCTTCTTCCAGTTGACTTCAGAGTCTCCCACAGGCCTTCTGGTGAATTCTGGTCGAGATTTAAGACAAGCTGTTTTCAACTGTGGTTTTCTCTTTGTTGCTCTCCCCCCATAAAGCTTTGACTGGTGAAGAACAGGCAACACTTGTTGTGTGCACAGTCTCTCCCATCTTAGCCACTGACTCTTGTAACTCCTTTAGAGGAGTCATAGGGGTCTTGGTGGCTTCCCTCACTCATTGTTGTATTGCACAATCAGATCAGATTTATTCATATGCCTTTTACTTCCTAATGATGAACTAAACTATACTCCAATGGACATTCAATGACTTGGAAATTTCCTTGACTTGTTCTCTGGCTTCTTTTTGTATAACCTTTTCGGAAAGTTGCTTGGAAATTCTTTTGTCTTCACGGTGTAGTTATAATCAGGAGTACTGATTCACCAGTGACTAGACCTTCCACATACAGGTGTGTGTGTGTGTGTTTTGTAATACAGTCATCCTCAAATGCATTCATACCCTTCCATTTAAAAAAAATAATAATTTAATTTTTTTTTGTATTTCTGTTGAACCACAATTCAAAAACCTCATGATTTTCACTACATTTTTATTTATTATTACTTTTGTCAATTTCAACTTATTTCAGTGACAAATTTTGAATAATGTGACATTACTTTAAAAAAAAAACTTTTTATTTGGATCTAAGAGTCTTTATTTGTAATCTATTGTCAAAAAGCCAACTTATAGTAACCTTAATTCAATGTGGAAAAGCAATAAAAATGGGAAAACTTCCAACGAGGACTATTTTTATTTTTATTTTTTTTGTAAGATATTGAAGATATGAAATGACCTGTGGATTTTCTGGTCCTTTATGGAACCACTGGTTTGTTGGTTGTTTTCCAAGTCAGTCACTCTTCTTTATGGAATAAGCTCCTAATCTAAATCTAAATCTTTATATTTGTTTTCCAGCTCGGACTTGTTCTGTGTTTGTTTTCCTACTGGGCCCACATGAACACTTGTGTGCGCGCGTAGCGGTGCCTTTACGGTAATTGGCTCCATCCCTCTGCGCACCGTGCCTGGCAGGAGCCCACGGCTTGGCTTCAGATCCAGCAACACTGACAATGACGCGTGTGGAAGATGGTCGAAAAATGAACTCTCCTTCTTAAAAAAAAGAAAAAAACAGAGAGACAAAATCTGCGGTGGGCGATGAGCGCACTGAACTCGCCGGGATTCATATCGCCTCACTGAGCGAGCTTTTCCCCAACGCGTCGCTTCACTGTGAATGGACAGATAAGAAGGAAAAACCATTTCGCAACCTATTTTGCATGCAGCCTACATGGGCGCATGAAGTCTTGGATATATATTTTTCCTCCCTGTTCCGCTCCTCCAGCCTCCCAATGCGCACGCTGGTAGTTTTAACCTGAAAGGAGGCAACTTGAGGAGCGCTCGTTTTTACGCATTTTTTTTCTTTTACATTTGCAAGATGTTTTGAGCGCCAAAGGGGGCAGAGACAGAGAGCGGCTGGTGTCGTCGGAGGGGGGTTTGTTCACTGCGCAGACGAGCCGCGGACCGTCTCTGCGCTACCGCTCGTCTGGTCTCCTCCACAACAAACCACAAGACGCAGGGAGGAGGAGGAGTGGCGGCGGCGGCGGCGGAGTGGAAATCTGGAAATATACGGCGTTAAAATGACGATGTCCGTCCCGGAGAGGAAATCAGGCTCGGAGGGGAAGGAGGAGGAGAGCGAGGATGAGAGTGAGATCTTGGAGGAAAGCCCGTGCGGCCGCTGGCAAAAGCGCAAAGAGCAGGTTAGTCGGTTTTGTCTGGTGTTTGAAGCGTACGTGTGCCGGAGCGCGTTTTCTTTTTTGAACTGCACATGAATCAATCAAGCTGCACGTCGGACACACACTGTTACGCAAGTGTTTAGCCGGGATTAGGTATTATTATTGCCCAATGCTGTTTTTGCAGCATGCCACTATAAACCTCACACAGTCATATATCCGCTCATCTGCTTAGCCCACATTAAATCTATTTCAGTGGGACATGGAGAGAAACTGAGGCCACATTCCTGTCTGGAGCGTGTTTTTCTCTGCAGGAAACCTTCAAGTCACACAAACAAACTGTGGACAAACCTTCAGTTTGTAGCCAGAGAGGCGTGTGTTGTGTCATGAAGGCCTCCAGCTGCAGGATTATTGCAAAATATAGTTAATCAGAAGGACAACTCCCCACTCAGAGAAGTGCAAAGTCAAGTCTGGTTCATCAAGAGAACAAACTGTGGCTCAATTAGTCCATTAACCAGCTGGCAGACACTTATTTGGCTTTTGTTTTTGATATTGCATTAATGCTTGAGTCACTTTTTAATGCTCAAATTCCAAATACTACCTTTCAGCATCTTCTTTTATATGATTATCTGTTGGCTTTTATTTTCTTTACATCATTGTCAGTTGGAGCTTCTAAGATTAATCGATTAGTTGTCATCTATTAGTTTAATCACCAACTATTCTGGCAATTAGTTAGTCACTGTTTTGTTTACAAGTCAAACATTATCCGCTGCCATCCACTTTAATGATAATATTTTTGGCTTTCCACGTCTTTATGTCATTGTAAATTAAGCCTGTAATGATTAATCGATTAGTTGCCAACTGTCAGATTAATCACCAGCCATATTGATAATCGATTATTCAGTTTGAGTCAGTTTTTAATCTTAAATATTAAACATTACATCATTTTTTATATGGTTATCTTTTGCTTTTCACCTCTTACTGTAAATTAAAGCTGTACAGATTAATCGATCGGTTGTCAACTGTTCGATTAATCGTTTCTATTTTGACAGTCAGTTAATAAGTTGAGTCATTTTTAAATGTCAAACATCTTGAAGCTGCTTCTTAAATTTGAGCATCTTTTGCTTTTCTTTGATATGTCAGCGTTACTTAGAGCTGAGAAAATTCATCAGTTAGTCGCCACAAACCATTTTGATAATCGATTTGAGGAATAAAAAGAAAAACGTTCTTGAATTATCTGATTCCAGCTTTTTAAATGTTAATATTTTCAGGTTTCTTTCTTCCTCTAAGGTTTTGGACAAAACAAGGCATTTGTCAACTTGTGCTTCAGGAAGCACCAAACAAATAAACAATTAATCGAGAAAAAGCGAAAACAATTTAAAAAAAATAATCACAAGTTGCAGCTCAGTTGTAAATGAAATATATTTCCGTTTTGGACTGTTGGTCAAACAAGATAGGTCAGGTCAAGATGACACTTCTCACTGGTTTAAAAAAAAAACTGTGATTAGATTCTACACACAAAACTTTTGAATCAGTCAATTAGAAAAAAAAAAACTTGATATTTGTAGCCTTAATAATTTGAATCATCAGTTGTTTTTTTTGTTTTTTTAATGGCATTTGTTTGGCCTATTAAATTTCAGAAAATGCTTTGAAATGTCAAACAAGCAGTCCAAAATCTCTAAACATATTTAGTTTACTGCCAAATAAGACAAAGAAAAGCTGAAAATCTTCAAATATGAAAGGTTGGAACTAAAAAATGATTTTTTTCGAGTGCAACGGATCACAAAGCTGTAACTGCATTGAAGCTTTTTTGAGTAAAAAATGACTTCAGCAGTTAATCTTTTATTGTAGCAGTTGCAGAGTAGTTTTTATGATATTCAACTAATCTATGCACTTCTTCATCTTTGAGTTTTTATATAACAGAAATCTGAGAAACCTGTTGTACTATAATCAACCTGCAACACTTTCTAATCAGACGCTTGAGCAGGATGAAGAAAACCTCTGAGGGCCTTGAGAGCAGGTTCAGACAAGCTGAGGATGAGCTCATAGGCAGTAAAAACATCAGTTCATTCCTTAAATTTTATTGAGGGCTGCACATTAAAGCTGAAATGACTTGTCAGTCGATCATCAGGTAACAATCTCAATCAATCATAAGCCCAATTTAACAAGCAAAACTACCAAACAGGAGCTAACTGTAGATGGTTAAATATATATTTCTCTGCTTCATGTGATGCTAATTGTAATGTTTTGGGTATTCTGGCTACACTAGAGGTCGCATTGGCTGTGGCAGATTGTGATAAATATTTTAAGCTGTTTTCTGACTTATTATAGACTAAAAAGGTCATTAAAAAATAGATTGAAAGATGATTCAGATTCCTTCTAGTAGTTCTGGTGCATGAACACAGTGTGCTGCTGTGTTGACTGTGAGGATCAGAACTGTTTGGACTGTTCAGGCAGCACATCAGCATCATTACAGAAAATAACCCAGTGGCCTTGCATGAAGCTTCCTCTCCCATAAATAATCCAGTGTTTGCTTCATGTCAACAGTGGACTATCTGTAGCATTCCCAGCTGCTGGATTCACTGCGTCAGGGACTTTGATAAGACCGAAACGTGTCCACCTTCGCTTCACGACGAGCACGAGACGTTTATAAAAACCGCCAGAACGCTCAGTTACGATCAAAAAGACGCAACAGACGCGTAAATGTCGCGTTGTTGTGAAGCAGCGGGCGTCGCCTCCACTAACGGCTGCAGATAAGGCGGAGAATTTAAGTTGAAGGTTATCTCTTGCTCGCACACAGGCTGAAACCACCTGACCTCGCTGCACTTTCAGTACCATTGAGTTTTTCTTGGTGTTTAAAAAAACAAACAAACAAACAAACAAAAAAAAAAAACAACACACCCACAACCCACCCGGGTGATTTTCCACCCATTGATTACCCATCTGTGTGTTTTTCTGTGCTGCCTCCGCCGTCACATTTTCATTTGCGCTGAGAGCATCAGTGGTTTATGGGTGGCTGCTGCAGGAAAAAATCAATGTGGCAATACTTTTCTAGTACATGTGCATATAATGGAGCACAAAATGTAAACACATTCAGTGTATGCCAGTGATTTGTTCATATTTAATCATTTTTCTAAATGAGAAACATGTTTTTGGTCGACAAAACAAATGCACAGAGTTCCAGTTGTGTATATATATTTTTTATTATTGATTGATCTGTCAGTTTTTTTTGTCGATTTGAGGGTATATTTGCTCTTAAAAAAGCCGAAAAGTGAAAGACGTCCATGAATATCAATGTATGCTCCCATGTGGCTTCTTTTTTGTTTTGTCCAACAACCCTAAACTCAGAGCGTTTTCAGTTCACTGTGATATAAAGCAGGAAAGCATCAAATAATAACAGATGAGAGGCAGAAACTAGCAAATTATTAACATTTCTGTTTAAAATACTAAATTTAGTGTCCAACCAATGCAGCCCTGCAGCAGTATCAGCATCATAATACATCCCTACCTCAAGCCTTTAAACTAGGGCAGTGTTTGTGTTCATCAATTATCTTTCAGCTATTTTATTTTATTTTTTTTGCCTAATTGATTCACTGAGAGAAGTCGCTAAAATGAAGCAAACTGTGTAAAATGCTTCCTGAAGCCCAAGATGAAGCTGTCAGATCAGGATCAGTTCATCCTTCCTGACCAAACACAGAGTATTGATTTTTCTCAGGGACTCAGCAGCGCTGTTGTGATCGAAAAAGCACAAAGTTGAGTGAGCAGAATCACAATAGTTGCAAAGGCTGTTTTTGTTTTGTTTTTTTGCATCATGATTTATTGGCAAACGTCTTTCCATGCTTTTATTTTTAAAAATGTTTGTGTAAAAAGCAAAAAAGAAAGTTCTGGATGTAGCACCACAACATGACACAAGTAGTAAATCAAACAAAAGCCGGTGGTTTAGCTCGTTATTGTCTTTCCAAGAACAAATTAATTACAACGGGTGGACAACTGTTGCACAGTATTGCTGAAATCCAGTCCTGCTTCTTCCTTTGTTAACACAATTTACGAGGAAATCAGCACGTCAGCGGCGAAATGATTTACGAGTTCATGATTTGCATTTCTGACTAGTGGCACGTATCCTCTGACTGAGTCACCTGTGGCTTCCCAGAATGAGGACATCCAGGCTAACACCAGACACAGGACAGTGACTCACTAAATATTGCCGTTGAATCATGAATTTGCTTTTGTAGATCTTTGCAGGATAAAAATCTTTGTGTGAAGCGCTATTGTGCAAAGTGGGCAGACTGTGAGGTGAGACAAGAGGCCGTTGTGCTCGAAGCTCGTGTAGTTTGGTCCAATTTCTTTTTTTTTTTCTCGCACTTATCAGCTGGATCTGAAGCAGTAACCCAGAAATTATGTTCCTTTACAACTAAACTGCAGTTTCAATTACATTTTGAGGGAATTCTCCGAGTTCGCTTTTGCATGTGACGTATCACAAATTTGCCTCTAATCAACATGTCTTTTCCATTTATTTTATTGGTTTGCTGTTGCTCCTTTTCAACCAACCAACCAATCATGTATTAGATGGGGTGGGACTTGTCACCATGGTAACCCAGAAGACGAAGGAGAAGCTTCAAACATGTTGGAAAAATTACTTTACCCATGAGATTTTGGTTTGGATGTCACCCAAATTTAAGCAAACAGTGAGTGAAAATCAAACTTAAGTCTAAGAATGTTGCTCCCATACAGGTCATGAACCCCAGGCTAGTGGGTGAAAGTCCTGTTTGTTGTGGGATAAAATTAATTCCTTTCACAATTTAAATGAATATGTAGTTTAGTTGCATAGGAGCATCATTTTTGTGGGATAAGGGTGTAGCCTCTTTCACACAGCCAGTTCAAGATGGGACACTTGTGCCTTTTTCCCACCTCGCTGTTCGATGTGTAATGTATGGAGAGGGAGTGGCAGAGAGTTACAGAGCTGAGTCAACGTCTGAGTGAAAAGGAGAGCTGACACGGCCGGACGAGCCACACTAGACGCTGGAGCT